GACGTCTTACATATAGATCTACTTCAGCTTCCTGAGAACGGTAGGCTCTCAAAGATTGTGTCTCTCTCTATTCACGAGGTCTGCGGAATGCATCGAAATCGCGGGGGTCTTATGATAGCACATGGTGTGAGGGTGATGCTCCATGGAGTGGGGGTCTCGGAGGGCTCCCGGGGTGGGGGTCTCTGTTAGATCAGGGAGTCGCGGAGGGCACCCGGGGTGGGGGTCTCTGTCAGATCAGGGAGTTGCGGAGGGCACTGAGTAGAGATGGGTACTCTGGGGTGGGGGTCTCTGTTAGATCAGGGAGTCGCGGAGGGCTCCCGGGGTGGGGGTCTCTGTTAGATCAGGGAGTCGCGGAGGGCTCCCGGGGTGGGGGTCTCTGTTAGATCAGGGGGTCACGGAGGGCACCCGGGGTGGGGGTCTCTGTTAGATCAGGGTCACGGAGGGCTCCCGGAGTGGGGGTCTCTGTTAGATCAGGGGGTCACTGAGGGCGCTTGGGGGGAGTGAGCTCTCAGCAGAAGGAAGAAGGAAGAGAGTCAAGCGCGGGTCTCTGAAGGAGGCATGTTTCCCACAGCAGGAGCACTGAGGCACGGCCTTGCAGAGCAGCCTGCCTGCCACAGGTGGGAGACAGCAAGAGCAAGGGAGCACAGAAGGCACGTGGCAAGCAAAGGGAAGGGGAGGGGGGGCAGAACCCGCAGGACAAGGCTTCTCATTAGTGCCTGAGATGAACCACCCAGGGATCCTATTAAACTTCACCTTGGATCCAGTGGGTCTGGCGATATTGCTTGGGCGTTCTCCTTTCTGACAAGTCCATGGGTAATGCAATACTTGCTAGCCACAGACCACTTCTTAAGTAGGAGTGAGTGCAAGGCCCCGGAGGATTCTTCCAGGAGCAGTGGCACCTGCCAGCTGTGTCTAAGGGACAGAGTAGGGCAAAGCAGGAGGCTTTGGACATGCATTTCTGAGATTATAGTGAGTTAAGACAGTGGCTCTGAAGGAGGTGACAAGAAATGGTGGGACTTTTTATCTGTTTTCAAAATGAAGCTGAAAGGACTTTGTTGGCAGGTTGTCCGTGTGAATGTGAGGGAGATCAAGGTTGGCTTCAAGTCATTGGTCCTAACAAATGAACACTGGCAGTCCATGGATCACGGAAAAGGTCCAAGGTTGATATTTCAACCTGTGAGCAGGGAGGATGTAGGTAGCACTTTGTGCTGTGAGACAAGTTGAGATCAGCAAGCGAGAGAAGAGCGGAGATGCCAAGCCCTGAGCCTGGGAGAACTCTGACTTGAGGAGATTTGGTGGAATTGTTAAAGAACACTGGCTGTCAGTGCCCATTGTGGTGTGAGGTTGAAGACAGCTGTGTCTCAGCAGCTGAATCAAGATGGTTTTCCAGGACGGTGTGGCCAGTGTGTGGACCCCAGCGGTAGGCTGAATTGGATGGAGACAGGATGGCCTCGGTGGCTGGCGGGGATCTGCGTTCCCTGCCGTGTCAGGAGCTTTCTCTCTAGCACGGTAGCTGTGAAAGCTGGGCTGGCCTGGGTTGTAGAGATCAGGAGAGAGGAGGAAGTGCAAACGTGAGTTTCTGCTGTTCTTCAGTGGCGCTTTGCTGTCAGGGAGGGCAGAGAAATGGGGTGTGGGTGAGGGAGAAGGGGGGTCATGGGAAGACATTTCCTTCATGGACATTAATTGTGCCTATTTATGGGATAGGGTGTGATATTGCAGTACAAGTGCTTGGTGAGTACTGAGCAAACCACGACAATTGACACTTCCCCCTCTTTGTCATTACTTTATGATCAACGCCTTGGAGCCACTCT